TATTTAGTATGTTGCTTTAAAGCTTCATTTTTAATGTTGGTTGCCATACAGAAATTCGTGCGGCAGGTGGGGACGTGCGTCAGGTGATCAAGTACGGTACCTCGGGCCGGGGATTTTCCGATGTCCCATCAGAGAAGTGGGGTACAAGATGATTTGAGGTCCACATCTTCCAATCTCCCTTGCTCTTCTCCACCAGACGACAAAGCTACAACCATGGTTTGTGAATCGGAACCTCGTAACACCTGCTCTTCTGCTTGCTGCGACGAGCAACGTAACAAGATCAAGGCCAGAGATGGCTGCGTTCCCCAGACCTCTGACCAGAGACACATTGAGAGCAGTTGTTCTAGTGAGAAACCACAGGAAGAAGACCACAAAGAGCCCAGCTGCTGCAAAGATAAGCCGTCTCCCTGCTGTGATGTCTCTTGCCTTGATCGTATTGCCCTCCGCGAATGCCACAAAGAGCGGATTCTATCACCTTCTTGTGGAGCATCTCCAAGTAAGTTCAATTTAGCTATCTCGGACGTTGGTCCTAATCGGTTGCATTAACGCCCAAGTGTAGAGCTGCCGACCACCAGCTGCCAAGCTCCCGACGGCAAGCCATGCGAGCAACACCGTCGCTCAGCACGTACCAAATACATAGCCACGCTTGAAGCTCTGGGCTGTATTTGCCGTGCTTTGATAGCACTCGGACAGGAATCCTGTTGTGCACCGCCAAGACGTTCTGCTCTTGGTAAAGGCCGTCGTTCTACCGACTCTTGTTGCACAGGGGACATCACGAGTCCCAAGGCACGTCACAGCGCAAGTCTAAAAGGTAGACGAGAGACCTGCTCAAGCGGCTGTTGCGGTCCTAGCAAGGCTCCCACAGTGGCTAAGCAGCGTCCTTCCTCTAGCAAGGGGAGGCCCGTCGACTCTGGTAGCTGTTGCAATGGATCTGGGACAACTGGATCTACTGGTCAGCATGCCTCTGTTACGAAGGAGGAGTTCAACAACATCACGAACAATTCGAAGGGTTGTTGCGGTAAACAAAATGTCTGCCCGAGACCTACTGCTGAGCAATGTTCGTCTTCTGAAAAAGGAAATCCTGGCCGTAGTGGCTGCTCAGCTGGCTGCTGCAGTAAACCCAAACCAGCCTCCGGTGCCTTGTCTGCAGAGAAGCCCAAGAAGCCCGCCTGCTCGTCTGGGCGCTGTGGTAAACCTGAAGGGCCCTCCGAAATTTTGCCTGGAGCAAAGACCGTTAGGCCTCGGCCTGATACCTGCTCAACAGGCTGTTGCAGTAAGCCCGTAACATCTCCATGCACAAGCACCGCAGAAACGTCCGGCGACTTCATAGAGGTCATCTCGGGTACCGCTACAACTGACCTCGAAAAAGGAATGAAGGGCAAGGAGCATGTCGCTTTGAGTATATCTGGAATGACCTGTACCGGGTGCGAAACTAAACTTAAGCGAACTTTGGGTACACTGCAGTCAGTCAATAACCTGAAAATTAGCTTAGTGCTCTCCCGAGCAGAGTTCGATCTCGACGTGGGGGTTCAGTCACTCGATGAAGTGTTGAAGTATTTGGAAAGGACTACCGAGTTCAAGTATGAGCGAGTCAGAGATCGAGGATCTCGCGTCGACGTTATCGTCCCCAATGCCTCTGAGTTCATGAAGCAATACTGGCCCCGTGGCGTGACCGAGATGACTCTCGTTGACGATAGAACCATTAGTGTCTCTTTCGATGAGACGATAACCGGAGCACGAGATCTGGTCGAACGTGGCTGGGGGAGTCCTGTCAGCCTGGCTGCTCCTCAGCCTGATCCGACACTGCAGGCTGGAGCCAAACACGTTCGACATATGGGATATATGACTATTCTGTCCATTATACTAACAGTGCCCGTCCTGGTCTTGGCTTGGGCTCCACTTCCAGAGAGAGAAATTGCCTATGGCTCTGCTTCACTAGCACTGGCGACAATTGTCCAAGTAGTCATCGCGGGTCCGTTCTACCCAAAGGCATTGAAAGCCTTGATTTTTTCTAGGATAATTGAGATGGATCTACTCATTGTGCTGAGCACGAGCGCCGCCTACATTTTCTCGGTGGTCTCATTTGGATATGTCATTGCGGGCCAGCGACTCTCCACTGGTGAATTCTTCGAAACCAGCACGTTGCTGGTTACTCTGATCATGGTTGGTCGGTATGTCGCTGCACTCGCTCGCCAGAAAGCGGTTGAATCGATTTCGCTTCGGTCACTTCAGTCGCCTATTGCTATCCTCACGGACGACTCCGGAGCCAATGAAAGGGAGATCGATGTCAGACTCCTTCAATATGGAGACATCTTCAAAGTCGTTCCAGAGACTCAGATTCCTACCGATGGTACAGTCATCGGTGGCTCGTCAGAGGTCGATGAATCAATGATTACTGGAGAGGCTATACCGGTAGACAAGACCCTTGGGTCTGTCGTTGTCGCAGGCTCTGTTAATGGTTCTGGGGTGCTGATTATTAGGTTGACGCGTCTCCCCGCTGATAATACAATTTCTATGATCGCAAACATGGTAGATCAAGCAAAGCTGTCAAAAGCAAAGATCCAGGATATGGCAGACCGAGTAGCGAGCTACTTTGTACCCGTGGTAGTCGCTCTGACTATCATCACTTTTGTGATCTGGATCGCCGTAAGCATTGCAGTGCGAAAGCAATCTGGATCTCAAGCAACCACCGAGGCCATAACATACGCTATCACAGTCCTAATTGTCTCTTGTCCTTGCGCGATCGGCCTGGCAGTACCTATGGTAATTGTTATTGCTAGCGGCGTCGCTGCCGAGCGAGGCGTCATCTTCAAGGCTGCGGACAGCATAGAACTCGCCTGCAAAACTTCCCACGTGGTATTCGACAAGACCGGAACTCTTACACAAGGCAAACTCACCGTTGCTGTTGAACATATAGACAACACGAGGAATTGTATATCGCTACTTCTCGGCCTCATTGGGAGTAACAAGCATCCCATCTCCGCCGCCGTTACTGCACATTTGAAAGCCAAGGACATAACAGCGTCTACCGTCTTCGACATTAAGCTACTAACCGGCAAAGGTGTAGAGGGGTCTGCACCAGGTCTCATCCTCCGCGCAGGAAACTCACGATGGCTCAACCTATCGTCTGATCCACAAGTTGAATCGATCCTTGAACGAGGCTATACAGCATTCTGCTTCACAATCAACGACACCCTCGCTGCCGTCTTTGGTTTAGAAGATTCACTCCGCCCTGACGCCCTTGAAACCATCACAAAGCTCCAGGAACGCGACATATCCGTCCACCTCCTCTCAGGTGACGACGACGGTGCCGTCCGCTCCGTTGCAAGACAACTCGGCATTGTGGCTGAAAACATCCGCTCCCGCTGCACCCCAACCGACAAACAAGCCTACATCCAAACTCTGCTCACGCCCGTCGACCAACCCCCTCACAAGAAGATCCCAACAACAATCTTCATCGGTGACGGCACAAACGACGCCATTGCCCTCGCCACCTCCACAATCGGCGTACACATGAACCAAGAAACCGGCACCGACGTCGCCAAATCTGCCGCAGATGTCGTGCTCATGCGGCCCAGTCTACTCAGTATCCTGACAATGATCAACATCAGCGAGAAAGCGGTGTGGCGGATCAAGTTTAATTTCGGCTGGAGCTTTGTGTACAATTTATTTGCCGTCTTGCTTGGTGCGGGGGCCTTTGTGGATGCCAGGATTCCGCCGGAGTTTGCCGGCTTGGGAGAGTTGGTTAGTGTCTTGCCTGTCGTTCTTGCGGCTGTGCTCTTAAGATGGGCGAGGGTTTAGGTATGTACAAGGATACATACGGTAGGGGCTAGGATTCTGTATCGTGAAGGATTGTATTGAATGGTGGATCAGACAAGAACGTTGATTAACAAGCATTGTCCTGCAACAGAACAGAAACTGCAAGTGGCGCCAAGTGAACGCTCAGTGGATAAGCGTCCCTACATATCATACATCTATGAAGGTCTTTCGATCGTTATAGATTAGGTCAAAGCTTATCTTACTATTATGTGTATTACATGGTGGTCCAACGACATACCTAATGCAGATTAGACTTAGGGCTCAATCGGGGTATCCTTTAAAGCTAAACATCACTATTCCCAAATGTTGCATCTGAGTTTAGGAGAAGTTAGGATTAACAGGAAAAAAAAAAAAAAAAAAAGCCTTACAAGGATACAGCCACATTCTGGAAGTGAGCTCTGTCAAGCCAAGAACCATGGTTTCTAATTTCGACTTTAGTCATTGATTTGTTGATGGCGACGAGCACTGAGTATTAATGACACAAAAACTTCATGCTATGTAGATATGGATAGCACCAGGCACGATATATCTCATCAAGGAACAAGTGTGTGCAGAGAGTCCTCATGGTATAAAGTAGGGGTTAGCAATTCATGAGTCATAGGTACATAACATATATACAAAGATAGATAGATTCGTGGTGAAGCCGCTGTGGCTTTTGGACGGGGTCCGCGGGAACCGGCCTCGTAACGCATTGGGCAAAAGGGGAATCGTGCATTTTGTACTCGGAACATGTCGTAACGCTTGTAGAGGCGATCATGAGAGCTTTCAGTTTTCATACAAGCCCTAGTATTCCAACTTATGCGGTCACTAAGTATAAAAGACAGCGTCGGTCAAACGAAGGGCTGCCCATATGGTCGATTTCCCTCTTGAAATAATACCCTATTATCCTGTCCACCGCCGTCTCCATCGTCAGTTACTATTTGTGTATTCATTGGACAATGAAGTAGGGTGGATCATATACGAAAGACCTTGTCTGGCACCAAAATAAAGTTAGCTTTCCCCGAGATCCCCCGCTTTTAGCCTTAGGCACCCCATTTGGAGGAGGTTGCTGTCCTTCACGAATTTCGAAACTCCCAGGTCGGAAATCAATCTCCGACTCTTGCACGTTGCTACATATCACAAGGGGTTTGGTCCTGGTGATCCTTCTCAAAGTGAGGACTCGTCCACGACGATACGTCTCGAGACATTGCCATGGAGTCGACTCCCCGGAAGCTCCGGAAGCGAAATGGCCCACAGGGCATTCAGAAATCCAACGCCAGTCATGATCGTCGGACCGGGACAATAGCCTGTCAATCCTGTCATATCCGTAAGAGACGATGTGTTTATACTGCGCAACATCACCAGTGCTTGAATTGTCTCCAGGAAGACCATTCATGCCTACCCAGGGGGCATGTAATGCGGTATGCTGTTCGATCATCAGCGATGACGCTTGAATCGAGGAACTGATGTGATAATCATGGTTACTTGCAGGGCCATCGAAGAGGAATATGAAGAGAGAGCTCCCGAAGATTCCCATCAAACGTTCAATCTGCCCTTACCGCGTGGTATCGACCACGAAGTACCTCGCTGGGCAGCTGTCTATTCCATGTTTCAAGAGGTCCTGCATTTTCTTCCACCTGAGGATAACATATCCGATCAACATGAGGATATAAATGTACCCGAAAGCGACGAAAGCCATCTGAATATGAGAGCCCCTGAAAGGGTCGCTGCTCAGCTATCATCCAACTCCACAATAAACGCACAAGGAGACACAAAGCACCCGGCCTCTGCACTCGAAAGCGAACCCGAGCTACCCATACATACATTATCACCTCCATGTCCTGGTAGCGATTCGGCTATAAATGAAGGCTTTGGGCTAATGTATTACTCAAATAGTGGGGAGGGCCTGGATCTAGACGATATCGATGCCCTGCTGAGTTTTTGATGGACGTCCTGTGTGTCGGGTTTTCTTTATCCCATGTCGGCCACTTCCAAGAGGATTTAGCGGTATAGAATGTCCATTTAGCCTGTCGGAAATTGAAATATCGAAGGGGTCATGTGCAGGGGAAAATTCATCAATGATTGATATATTGATTATGAAAATGGTTGCTGGGGCGGACAAATTCGATGTACCAAATGGGTTCTGACTGTAGAGGGTCAGACAGTCAGCATCGATCCAAGTCGTCTATCTAAAATCGCTACTATATTATTGGATATTAATTTTATTAATTTATGAATTATTATTTTCGTCGCTTCGAGCCCGCATAGGTACCACCTACAAACGGGAGCTGCTGCAGACTCCGGATAGAGTGTTATATCAAGGTCACAGAATTGTCAAAGCATCTTCGTTTGCTAGTTCACTCCAACAAGGCTGGCCTGGAATGTTTTCAACCTCATTATATAGTTTGCCCAGTCACATATGATTTCGGCTCTCGGCTCATAAAGGATGTGAGCCGGCGGAAAAGCTCCTCTATGTTACGTTATCCTATCGAGCTCCAAGTCCATATACAGCCACATTATGATTGAAAGCATTTACTGCCTTAGAAATGATGATTCTTTGTACTGCCAAGGATTTGTATCCTCCTTCCACCGTTCCTCGGCATATCTACCCTAGTAAAGGACGCCCATAGTAACAATCCAACTCTATCTTTAGAGATATATACTAGGGAGCTGAAATATCAGTCTAGTCAAAGCAGTAAACAGTAGTTCAATTCCCGAAGACGTAGCTAGTAGAGCCCCGTGAGTAAAATACGTGGTCGCAATATAAAACGCCACCTACCTCATCAAGCAAAATCTAGAGACAGTCGCCCATCAATATCGGTCTGATGCTAAGTCTTTTTCAGATATACTCTCACGGACACGTTCCTAGGATCATCGGTCCCATCTCTGGCAAAGCGCGATGTGAAGCAGGTTCCCCCCCGCGTAAGCCATCGATGATGACCGTCTTGGCTAAGGCGTCCTGGTCTTACATCTCACGGTCGACTACCAATGAGATACACTCAGAGGGGCTAATGCCATTCCCGTGCCTCACGCGATATGAATAACGGCTTTGTATGGATTCTGTGCGTCTATGAAATTGACAACTCGGCTGCTCCCATCCCATTTGGTGGCTTGCCCTTCTGGGTGCCCATATGAACCACAATAGGCCTTATGCAAAAGGCTTCTGCTAGCTGGACAATGCATACCCTTATACCAACATTACCCCCGCCACTAAAAATACAGAGCTACGCGCCAACTTCCAACTCAAACTTCACAATCAATCGATAGATGGCGCTTGCATTGTACATAATAGGAGCGACAATCTCGTTGGCTATTGAGCTTCAGAGCGCAACCGGTTCGCACCGAGGCTAGCGACAGTGGAAAGCAGTTGCTGTATCCGAAACCCCTCATTCAGGCGACCGATGCTGTTGGGACAAACATCATTTCACCCGAAACCCCACTTTCGATTGAATGGTGGCTGGTCTGCTCGTCTAGAAGTGGGGAAGTAGAATTTAAAGCAACTGCGGAGACGTTTCCGAGGCGGGCCTAGATAGTAGATCTTGATATATTGTCATACGCATACTATCGTTGACTGTAGTACAGAATAATCTCCTAGGTACTTAAGGGCAGTGACTATCTGACCTGGATATCAAGATTTACCTTTTACTCTTTAAGTAGTAGTTACACGAGGTGTAGACGCCTCAGGGTATTTAGTTTAGGTGGACGTTGCCTTTCACACCACCACCTACTTTAGTACCCCAGTTTTACGACTACCACTAGCCTTACTTCATCCATCATGGCTCCTGACCTTGATGCTCTCGCAAACTTCAGGACCGACGGATACAAAGGCCTGAAAGAGCCTGGTGGCGACGCATATGAGATCCCCGATATCCAGCCGAACAGCCCCTTGGCACGAAAGATAAGGGTGCTGTCCATCGGAGCCGGTGTTACGGGCATTCTGAATGCATACAATATCCAAAAACACTGCCAGAATGTGGAACATGTCATCTACGACAAGAACCATGATATTGGCGGTACTTGGCTTGAAAATCGATATCCCGGTGGGTGCGAGGTTTCCTCCTTCCCTGGAGACAAGAAGAGTGAGTGACACTGACCATATGGCAAAGGGTGTGCTTGTGATATAGTGAGTTAACGATTGGCCGGCAGCCAATTTCCTCTGAGCCCAGTCTCGATGCACTCAAGTCAAGACCTTTCCATTTTCACGTCACTCCTCCCTCGGGCCATTATTTGCGGCCCGTGCTACTTGAACTCTAGCAATGCTGGGCTGTTGGGAGTAAGAGTGACACTCAATTGAGACACCGGGAATGTGGCCTAATGGCACTCGCCTTTGCCTGATATTCCCACTTTTGACTAACTTAAGCTGTTGCTAATGGGCCTAATATCTAGCCGAGCCATGCATATACTTATCCATTTGCTTTGAATGTAAGTCCATGCGCTTGGTATCTACTCAACAAAAAAGATACTCTTTTGATCGAAATTTGCTAAGGCTCTCCGTGGTGTAGCCCGACTGGGCTCAATGTTTCTCTCATGCACCCGACATCTGGGCGTACCTTGACAAAGTCTGCTCTGTGTGGGACCTTCGAAAGTATATGACATTCAACACGGAGGTAGTGGGTTGCTACTGGCAAGAGTAACAAGCCAAATGGCAAGTCAGACTGAAGCGCACAAACCCAGATGGCACAACCCAAATCTTCGAGGATTGGTGCCATCTTCTTTTACATGGCACAGGCATCTTGAACAACTTCAAGTGGCCGGATATCGAAGGTACAAAGGCCTTGGAGTGCTGTTCAAGTCCAAGGGTTGACGGAGTATTCGTACAGGTTATTCACACAGCAAGATGGCCGAAGGACTATCAGTCTCAGCAGTGGAAACAAGAACGTGTGGCGGTAATCGGGTCAGGAGCTAGTAGCATTCAGACGATTCCTTCCATGCAGCCACATGTCAAACACATGGATGTATTCGTGAGAACCGGTGAGTGAGGTCTCTTCCTTCTCGCCGTACATTATACCCCTATTAGCATGACGCCTTGGGCAAACTCATGCCACAGCTTAGACTTCCGCCTGAGGAAGCTGAGTTGTGAAGACTGGGTACCTATTGACGACTAAATATGCTACTTGCCACCTTCCACTACTGCGATGTCTAGGTTCTAACTCAATCCTATTTTAGGTATTTGGTTTGTCGACATTGCGGACAATCACGGTCAGAATCATGTGTATACGGCGGACCAGAAATCCGACTTTCATCAGGATCCAGCTAAGCTGGTTGAGCACGCAAAGTCAATCGAGGACAAGGTCAATGGTATATGGCCAGCGTTCTATAGCAACTCGACGGCCCAGGAGGAAGGCAAGAAGATTTTCCGGAAGAGGATGGCGGAATTCATCAAGGATGAGCGGCTACTCGAGGGATTCACGCCAAAGTTTGGCGTTGGATGCCGAAGGGTGACACCGGGAGATCCCTATATGCTGTGAGTCCCGCCAACCCACTTACAATGAGAAATAATTTCAGACACACAAAGCCATTAACATCATTAATCAATCAATTAGGGCGATTCAAAACACTAATGTCGATGTCCATTTCACGCCTGTCACACGGATCACGGAGAACAGCGTCATCGGTGGCGATGGAACCGAGGTCGAAGTCGACACTATCGTCTGTGCGACCGGGTTTGATGTCTCATACCGGCCTCGCTTCCCCATTGTGGGAAAAAACGGCGTCGATCTTGCTAATAAGTGGAAGCTGTGTCCTGAAGCCTACCTTGGGTTGGCCGTGCCGGAAATGCCCAACTTTTTGACATTTATCGGACCGAACTGGCCCGTTGAGAACGGTAGTGTTATGGGACCCTTGTACCATGTCAGCCTATACGCGGTCCAGATAATTAAGAAGTTACAAAGCGAGTTCGTTGCAAGTCTGACGCCTAAACAACATGTCACAGATGCCTTTAATGAGCATTGTCAAGAGTGGGTCAAGCACACAGTCTGGTCAGAGAATTGCAGGAGCTGGTACAAGAACAACGAAACCGGCCGCGTCAATGCAGTATGGCCTGGAAGCAGTTTACACTATATCGAAATCATCAGGCAGCCACGCTATGAAGACTATGAGATTGAATACCTTGGTCCCGCGAAGAAGAACATGTGGGCCTTTATGGGTATGGGGACGCCGCGGGCATTAGTCGAGAAGAACGACGTTAGTCCTTACTTGGCCCTTGAGAATCTAGATCCAGAATGGATGGAGGCTGTCGGTATTGGGCCGCGTAAATTGAACGAATCAAAAGTGAGCTCGGAATCTGGCGCTCCGGGAAAGGAAGGAGAGAGATGTGCAGACGAGGTGTGCCGGCCGTTGGAGGCTCACCCAGAGTTGGGCAAGTAAATTGCTTCGTGTAGGATTGTCTTTATTTATTGATTCTTGTTCATTGGGTTAGGTGCTAGACCAATGAGGACTACAATAAATGTGTCTAGTGTTCTTCGCATTCTAGAAAGCTTCATCATCCTGCCATAGCCATATCTTGTAATGATCCACCTTATATACACATCAACATGTTGATCCAATCACGAATAAATCACGAACCCAAGCCGATGCGGGTTCCAGGTAGGAATAATCCGCTGATCTTGACCAATCCAGATTTTTAATCGGACCTCTTAAAAATCCTCCCTAACACCGGCCGGGTTGGTTAGAGGGGTGTGGGGTCAAAGCCCGGCTCGACAACAACTGTACCACATCCCAACTAAACCAGGGCAGGCTAGCAAGCAGTCATTTAATGCCCATTCTGCGACATCAGAAGTTGGAGAACTGTGCGGCTTTCCGTCGTATCAAAGTTGTCACATGTGCATGCCAATGCAGACAACAGCTGATGACTGTCTCCATAACAAGAATCCGCTCCAATGGTGTTGATTGAGCTATAGGCCAGGCATAAATTAGGCCCATTATGTCAATAAGAGACTACCAGTAAGAGACAAGTCCCCAAAAACTGGTGCTTATCGCCAAATGTGGCTCAATTCATAGGATTACCCCTCCGAGGCCTTTAAAATGCAGAGGCCATGCCGGCTTGGATTCAATTTTAAACAAGACTTTTATTATTTGTTTGCGACATTTGCTCCCTCACATTTAACGGGGAGAAAGCATTATGAAATTGATCACAAATATTGAACCTTCTTAGATCCAACTGCCTGGCATCGCAATGAGGCCTAAACGGCCAGGCATAAGACACTCTGGGAGTTTACTTGTCCAAATCCGAGACAAGCGATGCAGCGTCCCAATAGTCGTATCTGGTTGACGCGCGTTCTACCTCTGTGTCTTGGGCCAGCTATGTGTACAACCCAACCTGGCCTATTCTCTCGCATTTCATACGCTAAGAGCGACTTCTGAAAAGTACAGAAAGTGAAGCTACCACTAAGATCTGTCTCTTTCGTTTGTCTGGTTGGTGTTACAACACTAAATCTTTCAGGCAGCGATCTTCACAGTTTTGAACCCGAGAAAACTATGGTGAAAGTGGCGAAATAAGCAGGATAACGACTCTTGCAGACACTTTAAACGCACAACCCCTCGATGGGTAGGACTAAATGATAATGGCGCTACTTAACATAAAAGTGGTGTCTCAAGCATTATAGCACCATTGCCCTCGCCTTTATCTTTTACCTCTACGCCGTTGGAAGACAAGAAGAACAAACTACAACCCAAGCTACTTCTAATAACATGTCTTATCATCGAATCCTCCCCAGACCTGACGGTTATGCCAATGAGTCCTTGCAGATCGATCATGCTCAGACGACTACTGGACCTGCTGAATATCATTCAGAGGACGGTGGCATTCACAAAGCATCGACCCAGGAAATGCAGGCTAACTTCAGATCAGAAGGTACGTCTCACTATATGTTCTACAGCCCGATTTTGGCCTGCTGGTTGACTTTCAACCGTCTTGAGGGCATCTGGGTCAGTGCATCTCAAGCATCCTTCCGCCGTGAGACATACAGAGATGATAACAAACCATAGGTTTTTTGCAATATTGTCAACATTACCTTCCTGCAGCGGCGGCGGCAAATCCAGGACTTCTACCGCCCGCTATTACTAGGATAGTAGAGGAGCAATGGAGGCGGCTTTCCTCGGCGGAAATGGACCAGTGGCCGACATTCGGTGAAGTAAGCCTGGCCATCTGCTATGTGGGACATGGAGTTAACAGTAACTCAATGCTGATTATTTCTAGTCTCAGAACAACAAGAAACAACAATGTTATTCCGGGGATGGGTCTCAGTCGCGGGTGCAAGATGAAGACAGTGAAACCCGTAGCGGAAGCTCAGCTAATGGACATAACAGCCCAGCGCCAAATCGGAGGGTTAGGTCCGTGGGTGAAGATGATACATATCCACAGACATTATTGCCTTCTTTGAAAACCTTGTCTTGGGGTACCAATGATAGCTTTTCCCAGTCCAATGATCTGTGTGGGATGACGGACTTCCCTGACGCCGGTCCTACAGCGGTGGCGCATTATTGGGAAGCGCCGCTTTTGCACCAGCCTCAGCGTGACGGCGTGACAAGAGAGCTTAACAGGTTCGATACACATCCCATCGAGGCTCGGCCATGTTCAACCACTGAGGGATGGAGTTCCCAGAGGTTCTCATCTCTGGCACATGCTTCTTCCGGGGAACACGGTCCTGAAACTATGTTTGGCAGTGCACAACCATCATCGACGCCACAAAGACCTAGAGTGTACTCACAACATAGGAATCCTCAATCCCAACCTCTAACGGCAACTGGCCCTACATCTACACCGGAGATCACGGCAAAACTACTTTCAATTTTCAATAAGATTGGCACGTTAGCATATGGTTCACCGCCGATCAATCCCGCGTTTCAAAAGAGCGGCTCTCGAGGTCCAGTTATATCAGTAGATGGGCAGGATCCCTTAACTATAAAGGCGATAATCGACTACCTACACAGTACCTTACCAATTGAAGGATTCCGCACCCGTGTGTTCAAGGGACCAGAAGCTAGTCCCCGACATATGTCACGACGAAAGAACGGACCTATAGTTGAATATCTGAATAACATCTCAGCATGGCATCCAGTTTCAGCGCAAGTTGTCGACTACATCCAGCATCCATATCGAGGATTACGGGCCAAGACGAAGCGTGATGACAAGCTCGGAAACGGGTCGGTGCCGGCCTCTCGCGACGTAGGCTACCCACTTCCTGTGGCTCTTATTTCCCGATATCAACTTACGACTGTGGATGCATTTGCTTGTGAGATATCGATCGACGATCCATATTCACAAATGAGCCACCAGCAATGGATGGAATCTCTCTGGCGTGGCTGTGTGGGTCCAGATATCGTTGTGTATATCCAAGATGACGACATCCCGGATATGGGACCATCCCAGGAGCTCGTGTATAGTGCTCGCTTACAGGACACTCTTGGAATCGTCATACCTCGTGCTAGAGGCTCTTCCAAAGAGCCCAAGGAGAGGGTTCTGAGACATGTCGTATGGGCTATTGATTCTATCGTCATGAACACTCGTCCGCAATAATACGTCATTGGTTTCCTGCCTTTGTTGTATTTCCTTCGGTTTTGCCTTCTCTCTTTACTGTATCAACTAGCATAGTATACGGGTGCTATCCAATCATCAATGATAAAACCAATCTTTCTTACTCGGTGTATTGTTAAACACCTAAGGAGTACCATAGCATGACCAAGTGGGGAGTGACCACATCTCCCCTCAGATTGACGATCTCTCCTCTTTCTTCTCCTTTTACGTTTCACAAAGACAAACGAAAAGAGGATTGGCAGGAATCTAGACGAGGCTGATGCTGATAATAAAGCGACCAAAGAAATGCAAAGCAAAAGGTTTCCTTCACGGGAGTTCCCTCCCGACCTGTCTTTTCAGGTCCTAGCATGGATACGAGGTGGCTAGTAGAGATTTTAACTCCACGAATCATATGTGTTGGAATTACCCTGCACACCAATTTGACTGGCTCCCGCTCTATCACACACAAACGCGTGTCATGTTTGGGGTAAGGAACCCCTGTAATGGGGCACATCTGTCTATGAGAATTACTGCAAAACAGTCACACGGTCGTGATCAGCGCCTGTCACAAGACTAATACTGACACCTCATAGCTTGGGGCGTTAAGTATAAGTAACTTACCCAGGGTTAGGTTGCATAACAGCTCCCCGTTCGAACACACCAATAAAGAATTTATGTCACATTACACAACCTGCAGGGCCGCGGAAATAGTGGTCGTCAGTACGTCTTCTGCTCTCGCCAAAGTTAAACAGCTTCGAAAATATAGAGTCTTCTTAGTCTTGTCATAGAGTTTACTATGTTTTCTTCCTACCTATCATGTGGTGGAGAGGACAGAAAGTGTTCTACAGCGTTATCATGGCCTACTATTGTCTCGATAATATCGGACATACTCGCTAGGTGATTCTAAGTGCGATACATAACAATGTAAGTGATACACTTTGACATCGTAACTCAGATATTCTTTTCCCTTCGTTTTACTAGATGTTCTTTTTCTAAAGTATTACGCTACAACAAAATAGTCATATGGCAAACGATGTCTGGTCTCTCTACAGAAGCAGTATGAGTCACACTCTCGATTAGCCGCTGCGATACAATTGATAGACAATACATTAGGACGTGGAAATACAACGGTGTAACTGTTGTACCCATGAATTGTCTCACTGTAACCGCGTTTGATGGGAGTTACATCCGGCCGTCATGCTGTGAGATCCACACCTCTCGATTGATTTGTGCTGTAAGGCCACTGACCACTACCATTTCCTTGCTAGCATAACGCTCGGGATATAATCTAGAGGAATCTAATCGATGGGTCTCACAATCATACGGAGGGCTCTTGATTTTATTGCGTATGTATTGGAAAGGAAAGATCTGGGCGATGAGATTCCTAAGGCAACTGGCCGTTGATTGAGGGGACGATCATTTTGCATGGATAGGCTAACAAAACTCAAAAACAGTGGAGAGTGATGTCATGACTTCTATATCTTCCGAGATTAATGACCAGACGGAGACTAGGTAGAGAGGAAGTGCTTATATCCGTGTATTGAAATTATATACCACCTTTATATGCCATGTCTGTCTAATAGGTTGTGGCAACTCGGCTATGTATACCGAACTTGCATCGAGTGGCAGTGTACAGTCGTCTCGTTATTGGTCATTTATAGCGGCTAGTATTATTAAGTTGTGGTCCACATGGTTTCTAAGCATCAAACAGCTATAGATTGCCCAATCAAGGATGTACCATCGGTCGTGACTTAACTTGGAAGGTTGAAGACAGAATTGTGCAAGGGACTCTTTGGAGGATATGAAGAGTTCCCAGCCTAACGCTCGCCATCAGGAATCCCGCAGCCACGACAATATTTAGAGAGAACACCTGCGGAGAGGATTTCAATCAATAGACCGTAAATGAACAAGTAGTCTTCATTACGTGAAGAGACCTACTCTTTCGCTACTCTAATATCACTCAACTTTCTGCAGCCTCCAGATTGCATAGATCATGGTGATCTCGGTAACGATAGACTGTGCAAGGAACCTGAAAAAGGGGCGACAAAGAGCTAAATAACCTCCCCGACGAAACAAATATCAAAGACGAAGTGATTACGGGTGATTCAGCGGTTACTCCTATCATCTTGAATTAACGCCCATTAGACCTCCTTGGTGAGGTCATGGCTAGGTTCAAAACACCAAACGACGGTCGGTATGGGAGGGGAAAGAAAACCCATGCCAATCTTGATGCAAAGCATGTCTAGAGTATGTCTATGATTGAGGACATCACTCTTCAGCGTGTAACACGTGTAACATTCACTTGCTCGAATAACGAGAGCCTTAAGGGGAAGATGAAATGCTTCTAGGAAGGCTATGAGAGCCACTATCTTTTACTTTAAGAGATGGCAAGTCTTTACACCCTATTTCAGCATCAGGCTTAGGTATCTAACAAATATTAGGTAAAAGCAAACCGATCAATCGGAGGTCTTCGATCTCATCATTAAGCGTAATACACCTCGAAATGAATATTTCTCTGCCGCACTTCGAGACGCATCTAAGCAGACCTCCAACCTCAAACTGCCAGGTACGCTCACCAAAGATACGATAAAACATGTGGTACTTCAGAAATTCGAGGCAAGGGGGTGGCAGGGTCTCATCATTAATATCGATAGGAGACAGTCACCAGCGTCGCAGGAAATCCCAGACTTCCTCTCGAAGAAAGAGATGAATAAAGCGGTGGTAGGGTGCAGTAGCATCTGTACTATTTATACCATTCTCCCTGAAATTCCTGGTCTGATAATGAGATGTTTATGAACCATCAAGTGATTGACTTGTGGGAGTATGTATGCTCCAGCAAGGCCCTAGGTTTGTGGTACTACTCCTCAGGCATCAAATTCCTTTGTGTACCTGCCCCTAGTCCATACGCAGCTAGGAAGAATACGGTATATTGCGTGACTCAATCGCTTCAGGTGGAACCAAGCGAGTAGCGAAAGGGTGGATCCGTCCCTGATCGTATCGAATTAAATTGTGGCGATGCCAGCTGAATGACTAATGACTAGGCAGACCGCCATTGATCTGCAGTCTTATCGTACTTGAAACCGGTATAATTCATCTGCACAGCTTCTAGTCAAAACATTATTTCCCCGAGCTGAGAACGCACCGTGATCCTACTTCAGCAAGTAAGATATCTAACTGTTGAATCACCAAAGTCCGTACCTGGAGTGTTAGAATAAGTCATGGGTATAAGCCAGATCTAAACATTCCTATTGAGCCGGACTAATAGCAGACTAGGAGAATCCGAGGTCCGTTACTGTGTATTCATCGCGCACAGCACGTTCTCACTGATATCATTGCCCAGTTCCGATGCACGCTATGTGGTACCAGCTTCAACATCGCGCGTATCCGGACTGTCGATGAGCCCTTTTCAGCGGCGTGGTCCATAGAAGACCCCCGACATTTTATTTGTGCACTCGACGATGATGACGATGAGGAAGGCAATGACTATGGCGACTGTTGCACTGCAGAGACGGGCTGTGTTTGGGCTATTCGCAACTGTCAGGATGTTCGACATGGAACTGATGAGCAGAACGCGCCAGCATACAAATACCAGTTTTTTGATATGGATGACGGCCAACTCCCCAAGTTCGGGCAAACACTGCCGATGGGCAAACCGTTGGAGGAAAAGGCAGGCCGCATTGGCATAAGAAGGGTTTATCTTGAACATGTTGCTGGCCCGGGATGTCGTTGTACACAGGGATATTCCGGGGCCAACATCTCTCTGGAGGAGATGCGAGGCTGCAGGACTGGGCAGGGTCTGGTCAACGATAACGGGGACGAAGAGGCCGCGCCGGACGACCTGGAATGTGAAACTGACAGCGATTACTTTCTCACGGGGCTTGCGGACTGTATGCCATTTGTTGAAATTGGGGGTACGGGAGTGTCTCCCGCAAGGCATAGCTATGATTGGATTGAACCGGCAGACCCGTACAATGACGTATGGCCCTTCTCGCTAACTGTTGTGCCCTGCAATACTGACAATCTGCGGCAGTGGTTTGAACCCTACATGGCGGTGCCGTTTCATCCATGGTGTTTCGGGATGTACATGAAACTCAGCAAACTACGACTTGGCCGTGTCGAAATCAACCATCTTGTGGACTACTTTGATAATATCGAAAGCTACCCGCGCCAGTACCGCGATGAGCCCGATCTAGCCGTCAAGAAAGCCGCTGGTGAATCCTGGGTCCACCTGAAGGGTGATGAATGGCTCGCTGCAAACCCATTTTACGTGCCCAAACTTCGGGAGATACTGGGCAGAGCGATGGATACTGGTCCGTCCTTCAGCCCCCAGAATGGCGCATTTGAACGCCTTATATCATTGACCAAGATTACAACCGACCCCTTTGCTCGATTCCCCCGAGAAATCCTGGATATGATTATAGACAACCTCTCCACGAAAGACATTGCGTCGCTACGTCTTGTCTCGCGCGAATTCTACCAGCTCCCCGTCTCACTCTGGCATCGCCTTATTCAAGAGGATATGCCTTGGTTATGGGAGGTGTGGTCCGACGAGGAACCTTACTTCTGGGCGACGGTCACCGAGGGTGATATACAACAGAATAAAGGGGAGACGAGATATGAGCTTCACGAGGAGCAGATCATAACACATACAATAAATGTTGATGAGCATTTGGCTAAATGGACAATGCCGATGCCTACACTCGCACGAACCAATTGGTTTCTCCTGTATAGGGATATTAAACGGCACTGGAACGAATTGAGAGGCCTGTGGAACCGGCGAAGGATTTGGAATTATCAGGAGGGGTTGATTGCATCGTTGAGGATGCATATATTGAGTAATCCTGATAGTAGTAGTATGCGATAGATCATATCATGTGGTGGTACAAACATCACCATCGGTGAGGACAGGTGTATATACACGCTAAGCCCTTGAAAAAAATTAGAAATGAATCAGTATTAATCCAGACGTGGCATTGTATCTGGCATGGAAAATGTGAGGTACTACGATATATATTGTGAGAAGTAGCGCATATCTCCGGTGTTAACTTTCTGGATTATGGGACAAAACCTAATATACATTCTACATGCCCATCAACATTGAGTGGTGAGCACATTACACACCCTTTAATGATTATTGATTCTGTAAAAAGCCAGAGGTGATAGACACAAATCAAGATCGCGAGCTGATTCGGGCTTTGAAAACGAATGCCGTTTAAGGTTAGCGTGTGTCGGCCTCCATACACCGAGAACGCCACAGACAAGCCACACTGCCAGGACTTCCCTAATTTCCTACCAGCAACGTTCAATCTGCAAATATTCTCACAGCGTCGTCAGCCCTACATCTAATAACCAGTAAGCACTCCGATGGTACTATATTGTGTCACTCAGGGTAAACTGTGACCCCTAGGGATGGAGTACCAGGGCTCGGTAAACAACGGCGGCTCTACTTCGTCGCAGGGTTTACGGAGGAAGCGACTCAAGGTTGCCGTCGCCTGTGCAGCATGCCGACGGCGAAAGATAAAGTGCGGTGGTGCTCAGCCAGGTGAGCGGTGAATGATTCTCAATAGGACACATAATCTTGCCAGATTAACGTTGAACAGTACGTAATGCATGCGGAAAGAGTTCTACATCGGCGGAATGCGTATACTCCAATAGATCTAGTGAATTGGAGCCCCTCGTAAATGACGAGACACTATTGCGAAAAAAAGCCATGGACTCAGGATGTTTTGGGTAGATCGTATGGTACCCCTCCCAGTGATATCTCTACAGACACTTGTCGTAATTCCTAGGACAACGCTCTTACACTCTATGTAGCGAGGAGATTCCGCCTAGAGACATACCAACAGCGAATGGACCACTACTACAGAATTCAGTGGGTGCCAGCAGTGCACTTAATGACTCAGAAAGGGTAGACTCTATGAATGGCGTGACTGGCGACCCCACCCAGATTCGCGAAGTTTTTGGTAGCAGTAGCGCCGGCTCTTTTATGAGGCAGATATAGGCCACGCTCGATACACGATTGGAGACACCACATTCAGCTACGCACAGGAGGTCGCTGGCGACGGGGGAACATTCTTTGGAAGAATATCCGTCTTTTTCCAGTCATGAAGAACCAGGCCTCTTTTTGCTCCCTCCACGTGGACTAGCCGACGGGCTTATCCAGGCATACTGGGACAATGAATGGGTATTGTATCCTGTCATCCATAGGCAGAAAATTGAGGAAACCTACGAATTGCTATGGATGTCTAAAACCTCGGGCAATTATCCGCTGATTCACATATGCATAATCAATGTCTGCTTCGCACTGGAATGCCATTACTGCGAATTGATGCCGGTAAAAGAGCGTAAAACTACTGGTGATGATTTCTTCGGGCGTGCGCAACGTTTATATGAGAGATTAGGGGACGTCCCCTCCTATGAGAAGACAGTGTCTGTTACTATTCGGCATCTACTTGCAGAGCACGAGCAACGTTTTTCAGTGCTGGATGACAGTTGGACAAGTGATCCGGATGGCACAATACTTAGGCATACATCTTTCTCAGTCCACCTCTTTTCCCGAATCATCAAGTCATGAAGAGTATAAAAGGCGGACATGGCATGGATGTGTTTGGTTAGATCGGCAAGTGCTACGAGCACCTTTGCTACCAGATCAACCTTTGCCTCATTTGACAAAGTGATTCAGTCTTGCCCATAATCCTTCCTTTTTGCCGACCATTATATCTTTCTGTGCTTCGTAAAAGCTATCACTCTCACTACTATCATACACCGACTACAACAAAGTGTCCTATCTGCTACATTTGGACGTCCTGTAATGATCCCTAAATGGCTATTTAACTCAGTTCCATTGCCCTCGATGATCAACAATCAGTTCTTCGGCACGCAAACTGAAGGCTCTGTGTTGCGACCGGATGGAAGACCTTGCGTAATGGCATTTGCCGTGAAGGCTATGGAATTCTACCAAATTCTTGACGACATCCTTGTTAACCTATACTTAAACTCTACTAAGGATGATAGATGCGAGGGCAAGCTAACTCACATCCTTGCAATTGATGCGAGGATACAGACGTGGAATAAATCACTCCCAGATCACTTACGCGCTCAATCAGTCGCACTAAGTAATTCTATATTTGATAAACAGGCAATAGTCTCGAGGATTCGGTTAGTTATGTTTTTCCTTCCGTTAGAGACCTTCCCTTTCCTGGAATTATTGTTCTGACTGAGGAACATATTTCTGCATGTTCGTACATTATTATTCCGCCTGACTGTTGTACGCTACTGCATGCGCCGTGGCCAAGGTTCTACGGGAAATCCCAATGATTCGAACGATTCAAGCCTGTCTGAAGTAATGCTCTCTGAGTGCTCACGCATGTGTTTCCGACTTGCACATGAATTAATCCACACTTTCCATCGTAACCTGGACCGTGACAGTGTGACGGGGCCGCTTCCAAACTGGTGGTACTTTGTACTATGTAAGCCACCTGTTCTGATCATCCTATCACGGACTCGTTCGCTTTCAGATTAGCTGCTGATGTTAGTTATCCCCTAACTAGATGTATATACTGCTGCAACCATGATCCTTGTGGAACGCTTCCTGGAGACAAGAGAAAGTGCCTCGGAAAGCTCAACCGCGTCCGATACATGGAAGACTTCTCTTCACGTCTTGGAAACCTATAGTACTTTGGCAGAATCAGCAAGAAAATGCCTAGCAGCTCTTGAACTGTTTTCCGAGAAGCTTTTTCTTGATGGTAACAAGACTGTGGCTGCGAGTCGAAATGAAGAACCCCAGGACTGGAATTCATTCTGGGGAATTTCCGATCTGCTCAGCGAAGAACTGGGAATGTCTGATCCAGTCCTTTTTCCTTTCAATTTTGATGATTTTATTTCGTTTGATTCCATGCCTGGTCCTTATGTTCATATTTCGCCACCCCATGGGACATAGATCACCGCCCACTGTTCATATAACTACTAATCAAGTTCTCGTCTCATTGTCTGTCATCAGTAGTCTCTCGCATAATGCAACGACATGTGTCACTAGAACCCGAAATTTGCAAACGGATTTTACCATGAGCTGCCCGAGCTTCCTGTATTACCTGTGCTACCAGTACCAGCTAGGTTTCCCCAGCTTGACGCAGATGACCTGGGCTGACCAGTACAACCAAGGTAAACAGCTATATCTGCCAGTTAGCTTCTCTTATAAAGTACAAGAATGTTTGTACTACAAACAAAAACCGTAGGAAACCACCTACACTTCGAGAAAAACGCATAACTCTCCGCATTCTTCAACGCCGTCTGCGAATACAAACCAAGCACATTCGAATACCCATACACCTCATATCCGAGCACCCCCTTCGTATGACATAACTCATGTAAACTCGACGTCCGCTGATCCAGAACAGAGCAATCATCCGACACTTGCGGCAGCTGGAAATACGCAGGACAAGTACTCACTTGACCCCGATACCTGTCCGTACTGGCATATCCCGTCTGCGTAAACGAACCAGATCGACAAGTGATGCTATCAGGTTGACAGGAGTAGGTAACGAGACCGCTTCCTTGTTGGGATGCCTCTTGGGCAATTTCTTCAAGTATTTCGGCGACATGGTTTGTAGATATTGAGTCGGTGGTTTTGAAGAATGTTTGGAATAGCGATGTCACGTTGTTGGCGCGGATGCTGGCGGCGACTTTGGCGGCCATTTCACCGGCACTGGTTACTGCTGCTTGGGCCATTTGGCTTTCGGAGTTGTCACATTCTATGAATACTGCGCGTTGTTTGAGTGTGCGTCCTGTGGTGATGCTGGTGAGGGTTAATGGGAGGAGGAGGCTGTTGAGATGCATTTTGAACTGACACCTGTATTGTATCAGGGACTAGATACAGACAAGAAGTAGGTTAATCTCTACATCGGCAATCTGTGAGCTGGAAGATGCTGCTTATATGTGTTCTGAGGATCCCAGATTCGCAGTCTAAGGGTCCATTTTTGAGACGTTTCATACTGTTTCACTCTTCTCTCGATCGGCAGAGTCGGGCGACACCAGACTCAAGGTGGCACAGCTTGTTCGAGAATATTACTTGACCATTAGATATTCAAGCACTATGACAAATCTCCCCCAGGGTAGCTATCGCATGCGATATAAGTTGTGTTAGCTTTCACTTAATTTGCCGGTTCTGTTATAGTAAGCTGAGGCATCGGCTAAGACCCGAAATCTTCCAGAACAACGGGTTTTATGTAATCTTGATCTTATCTTTCATCGGCGCGAAAGTCAATATAAGCTAAATAAGCATAAATCACTGGCGCCAGGTATAACAATATCTAAGATGGCAAACTATTGCTATAGGATACCATGTTCAAAATTCACTGGGATGTCAACACTATACTCCGGGCGCACACAGACCATAGGCTTATCACATTCGCACATATGCCATACATCTGTCGATTCAAATATTAATATAATATAAATGAAATCTTCAACAAATGGTTCTTTGCCTCTTTCATATTGCTCTCTCCGCACATGTAGTTGTTCGTATCTCATAGTTGCAATATTTATTATGTTAATATAAATCGATGCACGGTAGGAGGAAACCTGTTAGAGAAACTGTACAGATAAAGAGAATTCCCTGGCCTCTAATCGCCAGTGGGCTACCATTCACAATAGTATATAATTAAGAATGTAAATGAGTCTAAGCTCAACGAACGAGATCAACAAGTAAAGACTGGTTCTGCACAGAGCACAAAGAAGTAACCCTCTAATGCGACAACTTAGCGAAAGGGAATCTAGGCACCAGTCCAAGAGTCCTGCTCGATGTTGATAGACTCAGCGTGCCAGGTCTTTCCACCGTCGGAGGTGGTGAAACCACTGGAGTTAGAGCCTTTGTACAGGAAGAGTGTGTCACCGAACTTCTCGTCCTCAGCGCTGAGGTGGATGGTGATGTTGTCCCAGCCTTTTTATGTCAGTTTAACATGGATCTGGCTTGGTATATATTTTAAAAGGACTTACTGTAGGCTTCAAGAGTGCCGCAGTTGCCGGAGCCGGTGTAGCATTCGTCGCCGGAGTAGAGGTAGAGGAGCTCGGCGTCGAGATCTGGAAGTATCCATGTCAGATGCTAAATCCGTGAGACATCATTTTGTATCATGTTGTGACTTACCGTCAGTTTCCTTGGAAACCACCTTGCCGTCCATGGTGACAGTCTGGTAGACCTTGTTGTTCTCAACGGTGACTATGGAGTATTAGTCTTTGTGCAAGAGATAAGTTATAGTCATCGTCCAGAATGCAAGCTCACCCTCAAAGTCAACCTGAGTTCCGGTAGGAATAGTAACGTAGGCCTGGCCATTCTGGCCGTCTATCATGATCTGTAAGCATCGCAACCTAATAAGGCAATGAAGAGATACTAACTAGGAGTATAAGTGCTGGCAGCAATACACCACTCCTCAGCCGTAGCAGGACAGCCCCTAATTCCATGTCAGTCCCGTCATCCACATTCCGTATATCTAAATCTCTAGGGAGTACTCACTGAGACTCCTGGTCAGGAGACCAGTTCAGCAAAGGCTGGTACAAGTAGGAGCTGTCGTCGCCATTGGTATGTTGAAGACCGATCCAAAGAGAGATCCAGACTTGGTCGCTGGTGTCCTGAACCTCAACACCTTGAGGAACAGTGGGAGGGATAAGAGACCAGGTCGCCTTGGTAATGTGGGCGTTGGTTGCTGGACCGGAGTAGAATCCGTTGCCGAAAGCCCAGGAGTCCTTGGTAGTGGCGGCCGCGGGCAGGGCAAGAGCCAAAAGAACGGCGGCGTAGGCGGAGTGCATATTCAGAGTAATTGATGAACAGGGAAAAACTAGTTAAGATATTGCGAACCGGTCGCGCAGAGAAATGAATGAAATGTGGTAGGAAAAAAAAAAAAGAAAAAAAGAGCGAACGATAACCTGGGGTTCTGAGCCGGGAAGGGAGCGACTGTACGTAAATACTCCCAAGGCTGAGCACCCTATTTGGATGGTTTGATTGCCGGATAATTCGTCGGCATATTAAGTCAGGAGCAAGGTGGAGCCCGTTTTACCTATAGGGCCCGCTATCGTAATTCTTGCTCCGTAGGGCTAAGCTTCGGCATAAAAAACAAGCTTGTTTTAGCCCGAAACAACCAAGTGAGCTTGGTGATACCGGAGTGAGGGCCAAGTTACGCACGCAATGCCGACCCTCTTGAACTAAAAGAATTTCGGATAAAATGGGGGATATATGTGGTTGGATGGCTGACCCTTGACGGGGCTGAACCCGAAGTCTCCTTTTCCATATGCCGTCTTTCCCTAAATAGGCCACACTCTCTGGCGATTAGATATCTGCGAACTGGGTCAGTCATAGTCGTGCCACTTGCTGTATAAGTTTGACGAGTCCTCCACCCCGACGGAAACCTTGAGACATGTGCACATAACTGTTGACCTAAGCTTAGCCATGTTGGATGCTTGTAGCTGCTATTGGCTCCGCCGATCAGCTTTTCGCTCATAGAACGACAAATCAGTGGTAACACGTATATCGTCCCGGGATATACCGAAGAGTTTTCTATGTTTATGCGTACCAACTCCCAGGCTTCATTCTATGACTGTAGCTCCTATATGCGCTCGCTTCAGATATTCTTTACATATGTCTTGCTCCTAACTACTCAAGTAAGGAATTCGAACATGCAACACCAAGTTGAGACTAGGTGGGAAGCCGAGAGAACAATGAAAGAAACCAACAGTAGCAGCCGAGAAGCGATCTCTTGTGAGAAGATTTCTAAGAAGTACTGACCCCTTCAAGGTTGAACCCCGCTATGACCCACACCAGCAACGCAACTTCTGATAGACATATTTGTGCGCAACGTCTGCAGGATATGCGAAGTGCTTAGCGATGGAAATGACTGGGTCTACTAACGGGGTCTCTATCCCACTGTTATTTACCGTTTTTCGCACTTGATTGCTAAACTTTAAAGTGAAGTACAAGCAATTTCCCCAACGGCATAAGCCTATGCTTATTTACAGGTAGATTAGCCTGGTAATAAGGCTCGCACGTCTCATTGGCATTATTTCCTCACGAAACAATTTGCGTGGAGTTTAAATAAGGATTTCGCCGCCTATTGTGTCAAGAAGTGGAGATAAGAATGTGGGCTGGAGCCCTCACTCCACAGTCTCAAACAATTGTCCATCCTCCTATTCCTCTTCATGGTTCGCCTTTGTTCCTTTATGTCTCTCCCCCTTCAAATCTTTGATTCTAAGTTTTAGTTCTGACTGTTATTTATTTTTATTATTTTTTATCCTTCGAGTAGGGGAGACAGGGAGGCGATTATCGGGTCGCATTTCCTATATTTAGCAGCTTGCCAATGAAACAAACGAAGTTTGAATGCCTGCTATAACTTCAATACACCGACAGCCAAAGGCACATCGCTCAACGTGGTAGATATGCTAGATGTGTAGCCAGTCCTATGATTAGTGCATTCATCTCCGGCTATGGAAGTAAAATAAGAGATTGCTCGCCTCGGAGTAGCGATCGATGGCATTTGCAGGGGAAGGAAAGAGGAGAAAGACAGATCCCTGCTCACACGGTCCAAACAGAAAATATCCTGAAAAGGTGTTGGAGGGGGATGTGCCATAACTGCCGGCAGGGGTAAGATTTTCCATGCTATGCGCATAGCTTCATACAACGAGTATATGTACATGTCCAAAGTCATATCACGCAGTTGAGCGAGGGTTAATCTAATGACCAGGATTTGTTAGTTTGGTATGTGACCTATCCTAGAAGGACTGAACAGGGTTGGTGAGGCTAAAGCCACCGACGTCCGTACAAAGCGGATAAGCTATAGAGGGCGTGCATCGTAGATGCCTCATCCATGTTGAGAGGGTCTACAGAAAGATGCCGGTCGGGTGATTGACAACCAGACACATGTCCTTGGCTTGAGATATGCAAGGCTCAGGTACTTTCGGTTTCCCTTGATGCAGGGTATATTACTGCGTCGAGCCTTTTAGCCAGCTTGATCGATCGTTCCATGATTTCGAACTCATACTGAGTCAGATTCCTCGATTCACCCCCCTTCATACAGCTCATATCCTCCTTGCGAGCACCCTTCTCCCATTCGGCATCAATCATCCAGTTCGTGGGAACTTCATACTCATTCGCCATACCGCTCTTCCCCTTGTTCTTCAGCAGACTCCCGTTATACCACAGCAGCCTATCCTTTGCATCAACATGGGCGATGACGAAACTACATACCTTGTGCCTGCCCCTACTATCCACTTGGTCCCTGCCAACAATCCCACCATAGTGCCCCGAGAACTCATAAGAAGCACCTGTCAGCTCAAGACCAAGCCACCACGTTTCCTTGTCTCCATATGTTATCTTATAAGTGACCTCTTCGCGCACTTCATACGAGTTCTGCCAGCATATGTGGAACAGGGCGACGAGTATGTCTGTTCTGCTCTTGTCAAGGACGACTAGGCCAGAGTCACCTTCTTCGGCATAATTCTTCGTCCACACAAGTGACTTGTCCAATGCTGCACTTGGCTGTCGAATTTGACTTCTGTACCACTCGTTGCGCTCTGGAAATACATCTTGCCAGAGAAGTCGGTCATGGAACAATAAAGCCCCAGTTCGAACATATGCCTCATGGTCCAGCAGGACCTCTGGAGGCTGGAAGAATACGGCGTCGGCGTCGGCTAGGATAACTCGTTCGAAGCGCGAGCCTAAGGCTGCAAATGCCTTAATGGCCCAGCCACCCGTCTGCAGCTGGAGTGTGGAGTCATCGAAAATGGTCAGGATGTCGAGAAACTCGAGGGGAGGGCCCGATTCCACGGTGCTTGATAAACGAACCCTGTCATCCGGGCTGAGATCGTCATCACCGGCATAAACGATTTGGATCGGTAGCGTCGAATTTAGAACCGAGCGCAAAGTACCAACGAGGTGGGCGGCGAAGCGGAGAGTATGATTGCTGGTTGGGATGACCACGCCGGCTGAGCCTGGCTCAAAAGACGCCCGGAGATCCGCCACGGGCTTATGTGTAGCATTTTGCCCCTCAGGCTTTCCGAGAAACGGGTATAAAGAGACGGCTACTCTCTCCGTAGCGTTCAATAATAAGTTCTTGCTCGTAGGATCTTCGGACTGGTCAGCCAGTGTTATCCAGTCGCGTAAGACTCGACTTCGCTGGCCTAGCTCGCCGAAGTGCTCTTTATATGGTGGTTGGAGTGGATAATCAATGAAGTATTGCGCGAGATGGTCAATCAATGTGGTGTCAGGAATGACAAAGCTGGCAGTTACCTTGGTGGTACTGCTGGCCACATAGGTCGGATCCGTCACGATATGGTTTACAGGGTCTGGCACTACTACTCTCGAGGTAGTAGTCAGCAGCCGCGGTGAGTATAAAAAGAATAAAGTGAGTAGTGCCGCTGCTGCGACCGCGGTGATACTGATCCAGGCTGGCCGAAGGCCTCGCAGGGCCAGAACAGAGATCATGTTCCACGAGACCCGGCGTGTGCGGTCCAAAGGAAATTAAATCAGAAACTGTTGGGTGAAAGCATGGGCAGTGAAATATAAAACTGTACGGGGTTTACACCCAGTATTTCCGTCGGCCTCTTCTAGTGAGGAACGAAAATGTGACCATTTGTGACTCGATGGGAAGTGATTTGTTCTTCACTGAAGGATTCCGCTCATGGTCAGGGGCCAGACTCCCGGATTAAACAAAACTACGTAAGCCGGAGGCTGATAACAAGAGTGTGGATGGTACGCAATGTCTCAACCCTGGTAGTGGATTCCAGCCCTGTATGATTGGCGCAGCCTGTGGGTAGCGATCATTAGTTCTTGGGTAGTGGCAACTAGAATCCACAGTTCATGAAGGATGCCGATCCTGGCCTACACAGCATATTTGCACAGTATTAAATATATATTGAGATTATCAATGCTAGGAGCTTAGCCCTGTCAATGTCCGTATCGCTGTCCACTTGTTGTGGCTGCATTTACTGTTGCTATTTTTTCATGCAGTCTGTTTTCTTCAGGCATCCAAGCTTTTCGGGATACGGGATGCAAATTTAATCTGTTTAGCTTATCCCGCTATGCCTGATTTGGCATATGTATCCTAACTTATTACGTTGTTAATCATTAGATAATTGTGGGTAATAAAACATGGAGCTGCTTCGCCTCGAACTTCCAAGCCATTCCTGAAATGGGGGCCAGAAAACATGCGGTTCTTAATTTAGTGCTGTAGGTACTAAACTACTAATTATTTAGTTGTAGCTATGCAACTTTCTTCAAAGCAGTTGTTGAAGCTGGACGGTCGATCTAATCCGAAACTATACCCCGAGGCCAAGAGACGAGATGTCTATCCTGTGTCTACTCCGGATGAGTCCTCTAATTTCTTAGTAGGTTAGTTAGGCCTAGGACCGCCTACCTAGATAGGATATACGGAGCTCAGCTTAAATGAAGCTATTCACGCCGATGGACAGAGATCAGTGCGGAACAAAATTACAGGGCTCAACCGGAGTACATGCGTAGGGCTAGAGTCGGAAGCATTCATCACATGATGCCGTGGCATATGTTTGGCAGGTCCTGTGACTGGTGGTCAACTGTAGAGACATATAGGCGTGAGTTGACATTTCTACAGGTACATGTACTTCCAATCTTAGCCATACATAGATAGAGCGTACATACAATCGACATCATAGTAATCAAGATCATATTAAGGGCGCACTAGTCATCCTCAGTCTTCACCCAACTTCCCATATCGTTTTCCAATTAGGAGAGGAGCAACTTCATCTTTAGGTGCAAATCCAGCCAGTCTCACATCTGCTGTGGGAGATCTGAGGTCATTTGTCTGCATGCCCAGCATAGATCTATCTGGCTGAACCAATTCTCCAAACTGAACCTCGAGGCTTTTGAGTTCAGCGGATTCGTTATGGTTTCCTCCAAGGCAACCTCCCATCGCTAGCTGATCAAGTTTGTAGTTACCCCGTGTAGTCATTGCGATTTGTAAGAATCCATTATCTGTAGCTGGGACACCGTTCTGACGCAACGACCAATAACCCAAAGCTGCCAACGGTAGTGCAACACCTAGGGAGAGGAAATAGGGCAGAAGAAGGTTCAGCGGCCGAGACCACACATATTGTGTATGTAGATCCTGTCGAGTCACGTTGACCGAAGTCGGCCAGAGCTGAAAATGGTTGATTGCGCTAATGGTGACGTTCGCCAGCATAGAGTTAAGGATCTCCTCATTCACAGTGAACAAGTTGTACCAAACAGTGAGAGTTCCTGCCCAAGAATCGCTGAAACCATTGAAAAGACGGGTGGATTGGACGAGAAGATTGTCTTGCATCACTGTTTATCTAGTTAGTCCATGAGCAAATACACGTTGGGGGATATCGGCACATGCATTGCGTTGAAAACACCGCCTCCTGTGAGATCGGCTCGACTGAATCCACACCGTATACCATTGCCCCTACATTTCCGGATATGCCTTTGGTCATTGCCATAATTAGGGCCATTATATTACGATCACGAATTGTGTCGACAACAGCTTGGGTCATGTTATTCTTCGAAAAATAGAATTTCTCGTCCATCGGCACTAAATCATGCACGTCTCCTATAGTGACGGTTGAGGACTGCTCACCGTTGTGGAATCTCTGGACGACATGGTATTCAGCCCGACGAGGACTACACGTCAGTACATGCGACACGTATTCAAATTGAGCAGTGCCTGTGGTATCATTCCGAATCCAATTATATACCTCCGCATTCTTCATCTGGAAATTCTTCAGAGCGGGGGTGGACGTTGAGCCTGCATCCGGTGTCACGGTCCAGTTACTTTCAAGTGCATAGAACCAAGTGGCACTCCTGTTGAGCGGCGGGCTGATCTTCTCAAAATCGGTATTGTTGCAGCTTAGGTATGGCCCATCGAAAGAAAGCTCATAGGAACAATTCATCCCACAAGGTGAGCTCATTCTTCGCGGCTCGCCGTTCACGATAATTTCTGTAGCCAGCTGGTAGAGAACAGGCTTGATCTGAAGGCCCATATCTGCAATTGTCAACTGTTCAGCACGGAGTACCTAAAATATAGTCAGTAAGATCCAGGTCCCTCCACTCGTTCGATAAGAGGACGGATCTACCTCGACGTAGTCAGAATCATTCTGCTCTCGCCAATTATTCGGCACGAACAAGGCTAATTCTTTATCCTTCATAATCGTCGCGTTACCACCCCAGATCTACATTGCGTACAAATTCACGATTAGATGACTATTGTCAAATTTGGGTTGAATTTACTAACCTCTGAGAGATTCATACCTGGCATTTGAGTCTGGGATACCTCGTGTGTTCTTACAGCACTCCTGACAGTCATTGAGCTCGATGGGAAGCTCATAGCGACAGGGACAGCCCATAGGACCATTGTAATAATAGCTAGTAACCATCCCTTTTGAAGTACAGTTAAGGAGAAGAATGACATTGGGCTTCCCCTCATAGTATAGAGAAATTCCAAAGTTTCAAGCCGCATGGGAGATATCCGGACAAGATGCCAGAAATATTGAGTAAACGCCGCTGCCAGGCAGATGCGAATACAGAAGCTGATAACGTTGGCCACAATAGTTGAGGCGGCCGTAACATAAGTTTGCGACGGGATATTTGGATCATTCTCAAGCTTTCCATCGAGATAGCGGAATACGGCTACATGAGTAATAGCTAGTGCGAGGGCTGCGGGTGAGTGTCAGTATCTCTTATAGATTCAGGTTCATAGGCCCAAAATATCCGTACCTAACGAGAAACTGCCACAGAGGATGAGCGTGGTTTTCCACCCAATACCCCATTGACAGATGTGATCCTGCTTCTGCGTGAAATCATTTAAGTCGTGTGTCACGATCGGTCTCTCCGATTGAGACGGGTACTTCGCCAGGGGAAGTCGATCCGCTGCATTGGCAGGTTTGTAACGAAACCACATACCCGGTAGGGGGAAGGGGTAGGGGGGGGGG